TATATATATATATATATATATATATATATATATGAGACCATAAAGAAAAACAACTCTTATTAAAGTTTTAAAAATGATTAGTATTTATATAAACTTATTATAATAATTATTAAAATTATATACCTATAAATTACAATTTATTATAATATATCAAATATGTGGTCATATATCTATAACATTATAAAATTATATAATAATAAGCTATAATTATATTGATTTATTTTCTTACTTTTTCTTACTGAGTCCATTTGACTGAAGAATATAACAACATAATTAATCTCATCATAATCAAAAACTGACCTCGAGGGATTTTATAGCTGACCTCTCCAGGTTTCCTTAGGTTTCGTAAAATATAGTCGCTGTGGATGTTGATGGCCATTCCAGTGAAAAACATCAACAAACCTAGAAGAAACATTCATTGAGTGTTTTTACACTGACATTCATTGATTCAAATGAATATAGTTCATCAAAAAGATCTCGTTGTCTGTTAGCAGCATGTACAGTACCAGTAATGAAGCGTGTGTCTCTGTGCCATCCGCTGTGGTACTGAGTGCAGTGGAGCATGTGGTGACCCTGCAGAAAACCGTTCACAGAGCAGAAGACCACCGCACTCACCACAATGTGCAGAGGAGACGGCCTGCCTTTAGTCAGCAAGGAGAATACAAAAGTCCTGCAGGAACACCAAAGAGTGTGAGGAAACAGAGAAATCAGATATGTTTTCTGCTTTATATTATCGTCTTGTTTAATGTGATTTTTCTCAGCTGAACTTGTCTCCTTTCCCTTTTGTCATTGTGCCATGGGAGAACAATAAGGGCAATTTACTCAGAGGCTTCTTGTTTTCTGTGTTGTATCAGGAGCCAGAATAAAAGATCCAGATAAGCGTATGCCTTCTTCCCCCAGTTTGATAGTCCAACGCAACATAGGATCTACACAACACACATAGGTTTTTACTGTATTCTAACTGGTGTCTCAAACCACACTAGTATTTACCTCAGCTTGCAGAAAAGCTTAAATAACTTTTCATGTGTTACGTAACTCGCATTACTTGTAATGAGTTACCCCCAACACTGTTACCATTATATTAGTGAAACATTATATATTAATGAAATATGCATTTTTGTTTGACTGTTTACTGTACATTTAAGCTTAGTCGGTAAAACCAAATATGTAACGTTCTGGCAACCACAGCTGCTGTTTTTTCGTGTCTGTGGCAGGATGTTTATTTCAAGTAAATGTAGTGAGTAGTGAAATGACTGTATTCTCTCTTATGCTGTTTCAGCAGAGACTTACTGGATATGTTTGCAGAAAATGGTATGTTCTGATTTGTAGAGATTTGATTTGATAAGCTTGATGTAACAAGATTATGTAAAGATTTTTTTTTCATCAGAAATGTGGCTAAAAATCGAACTGAAAACTAAGCAACCTGACAATTAGGCAAAGTCTTGCAAGTCAGTTCACTCTTCAGCCATCTTGGTAATTCCCCGGGCCGCTGTTTTCTATGTTTAAGCATGCAAGCACAGTCCTGTCTAATTGAATTGGGCAAACTTAAATAGTGTTATTTACATAATGGCATTTAAAAAATAAAATGACAGCAAAGAATACAGGAAATATTGCTGCTTTAGCTCAAATCAGCATGTAAACTGTATTTTCCAGACTGGCCAAGCTAATGAGGATGCATTTCAAATGAAAAATGAGATTAGAGAAAGAGGTACAAGGTTACCACGGTGCAATTCATCCTTCGCTGGGAGTTTGATTGACAGGCGAACTGACCAATCATAGCGTCGAATTTGTCATTTTGTCAGCCAGACAGGAGAACAGATTAACGTCGGTGGACCTGAACTCTTTGACTTCATATCCTCCCTTACGTGTGTTGTTACAAATGATTTTTCCTTCCTGTTCAATCTACTGGACTGAGTTGCACCATAACTGAAAAAGAAGCTCTGCCTGTAAACCTGGCTAACGACATTACCAGCTCAAGTTTGAGAATTTGTACTTTAGACATCCAAAGTACATTTGTGCAGGTCATCATGACTTTATGCCACTTTGTCAAATTATAAAGACTGAGGCAGTATATTTCAAATATAGTCACAGCTGGAGATGGACAGTCCTAACTCAAGTGTGAAAGCAGACGACAGTCACTATACAAACAGCTATTTTCAAATACCTAACTGTTATAAAAATCGGCTTAACAGTTTTAGGTGAGAGGTGTCAGCCTTGCAAAAGAAAAGGGTTAATTTTTTCCCCTATCACTTATAGGCTAATATATATTATATTTTGACTATATACTTTGACTTTTCATTTAGTTTGACCCATTATACTTGTAGTATAATTTTCAGTACATTTTACAACTCTTTACAGACCAGATAGTGAGTCTAGGTTATGCACCATTTACTTTCCTATTGCAAAACTCAAAACCACAAAAACGAAACTATGAGGTTTTGTATGTTAATCTCTGATACAGCTGTACTTCTTTTGAACATTCTTAGAAAAGTTCCTTGCCAGTATTAATTAATCTGGTTCTTGTTATGCTGTTGTTGGCATTAATGCACTAGTCTATATGTGAAATGTGAACATCATTACCTCTGAAAGTAGTGCAAGCAAAAGGTCCAGAGCAGTAAATGTCTTCCTATCCCCGGCAAACTTTCTGTTGTCAAATACAACAGCACAGGAACTAGGAATGATGGAAGTTCCTGAATAAACCATCCTGTCTTGGCTGGGACCATCATCCCGGGGGATTTTGTGTCCACATAACGTCCGTACGGCGTGTGTGTTGTCATTTGCCGCAGGAGGTAAAGCACTCCACAAACTACACATGCCCAGCTACAATAGTGAATAGTGTTTTCCTGGCAAAGCATTGCTGCTTCTCTTTATGTTTCTCAATGCACTGCAGTGTTACCCTCTCACTATTTTGACCTTTATAGTGAAAAGGTATCCACCCTCATGTAAAACCCTTGGGTTCCTCCCACCAGATTTTATTGGCTCCATATATGCATGAAATGTAATATCCATCTGGGAGAGAGCAAATAAACATCTGAAGTCAATGAGTGACTCCAGTCATAAAGAAACACATGACCGCACTGAGACATTGGTATTTTTTTTCTAAAATGCTCCAGAATTGTTTTTTTTTTTAAAGAATTTCTGAAACAAAACAAAAAAACCTTTCATATGCAGTCACATGTAGTTCGAATGCTCAGTCTGAAGAGATGTTTGAGGATTATGAGCTGTTGCCAGGGTGTTCTGGGTGTTTGCCAAGATTTTCTAGATGGTTGATGGATGACAAACTATGCAGACTTTCTTTCTGAATTTATCCATCCATTTCAGAAGGGCATTTATATAATACCTCTTTAATCTGTATAGATTTTTTTTTTCAGAATGTAATCAAACTCTTTACAAGTGACTCGTTAAAAACATACATTATTTAAATCACAATATTAAAAATAAATAAATAATATTTAAAATACTTTTTTATTGTCCCAGACCATATAATGGTACGATAAATGGTTAAAATACTACCACTACTAAGAATTATTCATATTATTAATAAGCAATGGTAATTGAACTTTATAAAGTACAAATTTATTTTAAGATTATTAGCAGAATCTTAGAAAATAATTAAGCAATGCATTTAATGTGTCAATATCAAAGACTATTAAGAATGCCTGTTGGTTGAAACAAGTGAAATTTATGCCGACAGCACCTGTTTGTTTGTGGATATTATATGAAGCTTACCACATAACAACAAATTTTTAATCAAATTTAAATCACATCTTTAAATTAGTGCTGTGAAGTCAAACGATTAATCGTGTCCAAAATAAAAGTTTTTGTTTACATAATATATGTGTGTGTGCTGTGTATATTGATTATGTATATATAAATTCACAAACATACATATGTATATATTTAAAAAAAATACAGGTATATATATTTATATTCATATATAATTTATATTAAATATAAATGTAAATATTTTATATATAAACAAAACATATTTTCTTTAAATTTATACATGCATTTGTGTGTATTTATATATAAATAATAAATATGCACGGTAGGCCTACACACACACATATGTAAACAAAACTTTCGCGATTAATCTTTTGACAGCACTACTTTAAAGCCCGTATATCCTCCACTGAATAAAAAATAAAAAAGGTAATTGCGACTTTTTATCTCACAATTCTGACTTTTTTTCTCATAATTGCATGATACAAACTCGCAATTCTGACTTTTTTCCTGAGAATTGCGTGATATAAACTCGCAATTGCGAGTTAAGTCATAATTGTGAGATATAAACTCGCAATTCTGAGAAATAAAGACAGAATTGCATGATATAAACACAATTGCGAGACATAAAGTCGCAATTCTGAGAAATAAAGTCAGAA